AAACAAACAAAAACTCACTGCCATCGAGTTGATCCCTCCTTGGGTTTCCAAGGCGGTATCACTACAAAAGTAGATTGCCCAACCGTCCTTCTGAGGAGTGGCTAGTGGGTTTGAACTGCCAGCCTTCTAGAAATGAGTAACCTAAGTTCATTGTTGCCCTTTTTCCTCTTCCTTCTCTCCTTTGCCACTTCAGAGTTTCTTCTTTCCCCATTGATCTGTGAAATGACATTATGTAAGGTCCCCAAAGGCCTCCTAGCTACTACAGTTTGAAAACCAAAAGCAAAGGCTATAAACCATTGACATATAAGTTTGGAAGATCTGTGTTTGTATAAAACATTTTTTTTCCCCTATCCTTTTCTTTTCAAGGAGAGAAAATAAAAAGTGCCTTGTCAACTTCAAAAAAGAGACATCAGAAGAGAGCCCTTCCAAGAGGTAAGATGAAAGAACAAGTGGAGGCTGGAGGCTGGAAACAGCTCATGCAAAGCCTTGTAGGCCAAGGTGTGGAGGGTTGGTTTTTGTTGTGAACACATGAAAGTCCACTGCAGGGGACTAACAGTGAAGCAACATGATCCAAGACAAGTTTTGCCCCTTTAAAGAGTGAAGTAGTTAGGAAAGAATGGAGGTAGCTATCTGAGGAGCAGATGCCCTGAGATATGATAGTACCCTGGATTCAGGTATCTCCTGATAGGGTGGTGGCTGGGAAAGTGAGAAGAAAGTCACTAATGGGGGAAGAGGAAGTTCACAGGGGACTCCAACTAAAATTTCACAAATTGCTATTTGGACCAGGGGCAGCCTCCTCTGAGCATGGAATTCAAGAGAAGTTGCAAGTGGTGGATCAGGTGACTCAAGTGAAGGATGACTCAACCAGTCACTCAAAAGTCATGACAAGATTCCAAAAGGCAAAGAGGGAATGTGCCCAAACACCCAAGCCAGTGGGTGAGTCTGGTGCTGGAATTGGCCATTAGAATGGCTCAGTGTGGGAAGAGTGCTCATGGAGCAGGCAGGGGTGTGGGAGATGTGGAAAGTAATAGTAGGAGGGAGACATGCAGAGAAAGAGGTTGAGGTGAGGCAAGAGGGACACAGAGAGCAAGGACCTGTGGGTCTGAGAGTGGAGATGGGAAGAAACTGATGTGTTCACAGTGGACAGCTCGTTATAGCTATGGCCTTGGGCAGCAGTTCTCAAATCTTTCAGTCTCAGGACTCCTTTATACCATTCAAAGTTATTGACAACCCCAAAGAGCTTTTGTTTATGTTGTTTATATTTATCTATAGCTACCTTACCAGAGGGAGCTCTGGTAGCGTAGTGCCTAAGGCACTTGACTGCTAACCAGAAGGCTGGCTGTTCAAATCCACCAGCCACTCCTCGGAAGGAAGGTTGGGCAATCTACTTCCGTAGTGATACTGCCTTGGAAACCCAAGGAGGGGTCACTATGAGTCAGGTCTGTCTTAATGGCACATAACAACAACAACCTTATCAGAAATCAAAGCTGAGACTTTAAAAATATTTATTAATTCCATTAAAAATAAATATAATTTACCAATTATGTGTTAACAGAAAAGAACATATTCTTATGAAAATAAATATATTTTCCAAAACAAAAAGAAATTAATGAGAAGAATAGCATCCTTATATATAGTTTTTGCCAATCTTTCTGATACAAAGCAGCTATATTCTTTTCTGTTTCTGTATTCAATCTGTGTGGCATGTTGCTTTGCTTGAAGCATAAGAAAGCTCACATAGATATATAATGGAAAAGAGTGGAGTATTTTAATAGTCTTTTCAGACTTTTAATATTGATATTGTAGTCTTTGATACTATACCAAAATTCAACAAGTGGTAGTTTCATAAACATTCATTGTAAAGTGGAATCTGAAACCTTATCAAGGAGTTTTCATACTACGTAGCATTAAATGCACTATTCTATCTTGCATTTGGAGTTGGCCTTTTACTTCTCCAAGAGTTTGTAACATTATGCTTTCTCCTTTTGGATAATATTCATGCACTGAGGTAGACAGTAAGGAGCCCTGGTGGCACCGTGGTTAGTGACTTGGCTCCTAACTGAAAGGTGAGTGGTGCAAACCCACCAGCTACTCCAGAGGAGAAGATGTGGCATTCTGTCTCTGTAAAGATTGCAACCTTGGAAATCCTATGGGGCAGTTCTGTTCTGTCTGCAGGATTGCTATAAGTCAGAGTTGACTCAATGGCAACAAGGAGGTATGCAGTGAGTTTACAACTCAAACAATCACACAGTACTTTTTCTCAGGAAAACCATAGTACTTCACTAAGCAGCAACAGTGGTTTATATTCCCCCAGTTTTTCACCTGGAATATTAAAAGATGTGTGCTCAAGGGTAGAAGTTTTATAAAATTAATAACTTTTACTGACTCATCAGGGACATTCTTAAGTGAAACTGGCTTTCTTTTTTCTTTCTAAATGGCACATGGCAATGAAAACTACAATGAGTACTCCAAGTTCTGGAGCCACTGTCTTGATTCATACCAAAGTACTTGGAATTTCACCTGCCATGGTCTTTGCTCTAACATAAAGTCAACATAATAAGAAAGGCAAGTCAGTCTTATATTATTAGGGAAATCATGTTGAACTCACAGTTTTCCTGAAAGGATTCAAAGACCTAGAAGAGTTCCCAGACCCCACTTTGAGAACCACTGGCCTAGGGGCTCGGATGACTGCCTCCTCCTGGACACTGGGTGCTTCCATGAGTGGAGAAACCACTGATGTGCTGACAGGCCCTGCTCCATTCCTCCCCTGAATGGGAGGCAGCCCCAGTGACCTGAGACTCATTCTCAAGAGGGTCTCCTTGGAGGCTTAACAAGATGCGGGAGACTCCAACTCTCAGCTGAAAATGTGCAAGGCCCTGCCTGGGTCTCTGGAAAGTCCCCATGGAATGTGCCAGAGGCATTTACCGAGATCTGAATAGAAAGTTGTTTCTTTTTTCCAGAGATCAGTGATGATACTTCAGAGATGAAGAAAGTCAAGAGGCCCAAGGAGGCACCGAGCACATCACCAAGAATTAGGCATGGTAAAGATTAAGGGTTGCATGTCTCAGAGGGCCCAACTAAAGAGCTCAAATTCAGAGTTCTTTTACTCTAAGCCAGTGTTCTCAACCTAAGGAAACTTTTTAGACATCTTTTTCCTGATCATGCCCCCTGTGCAATTTTCATACTACAAGTATGTTTCTGTTTATGAACTGTATGCATAAGGGTACTATGTGTATAGGTAGGACCATATCACATTTTATGTGTCAAAAGGGTGAGATTGTTCATCCCCCAAGAACCAATTTCCCCACTGGAGACAATCTCCCCAACACTGAGCATGCGTGCTCTAAGTGTGGCGGTTCAGTGGTAGAATTCCCATTTGATGACTGGCCAATGAACCTGTCAGTGGAGGCTTGCATGTCACCATGCTGGTAAACAGGTCTCCATGGACTTTCAAGATTAAGACAGACTAGGGATCTACTTCCAAAAATCAGCCAATGAAAACTCTATGATCACAATGACCTGATCCTCAGCTGATCATGCGGAAGGCACAGGACTGGGCAGAGTTTGGTTCAGTTGCGCATGGGGCAGACATGAGTCAGGGGCCAACTCCATAGCAGCTAACAGCAGCAGGGGTATTCCTGGGACTCTATTGAAGTGTCCAAGGCCATGGATCAAGTTTTTCTCTAGGGTCCCAAGCTCCAGGTTTCTCACATGACCTTCCTGGGAAAACTAGGAAGAGAACAGCTCCCCATAAAGACAAATGCAATACTGCAACTGATCTATGCAGCCAGTGTTGCTGTTGTGGGCCATGTGTTGGTGAAATGATGTGTGTTCATTTGCTCTTGACCATGCCACCATGATTCCCATTTCTGGTGGGAGTTAGTGCCATCATCTAAAGAGGGGAAAAGCTGAGGGTCTTCTGTTGGTTGATCATAGGGTCATGGTGTCACAAATTCACAGTATCCTCAAGTGACAATAGATGAGAACTGTCAGTGAAAATGGCTTAAATTTGACTACCCTCCAATTCAAATGATCATTTTTAACAGTTTCTTCTCATTGCTGTTGTTGTCAAGTGCTGTCAAATCAGCTCTGACTCACAGCAACCTTATGTACAACCCACGCCATCCTCACAACTATTGGTGGGTGTGTTGGGTCCACCGTTGGGGCCATTGTGTGCCTGCCTTCCAACCTGTGGGGTTCATCTTCCAGCACAATACCAAATGGTATTCTGTTCTGATACATGTCTCCATTGGCTAACATTGGGAAGAAGATCATAAGCCTTTCTTTCAACTCTGTTTTCATCTGGAAGCTCTCATGCAACCTGTCCACCATGGGTGACCCTGCTGTATTTGAAATACTGGTGGCTTCGTAACCAGACGGGAGCTCTGGTAGCGTAGTGCCTAAGGCATTTGACTGCTAACCAGAAGGCTGTCGGTTCAAACCCACCAGCCACGCCTCGGAAGGAAGATGGGGCAATCTACTTCCATAGTGATACTGCCTCGGAAACCCAAGGAGGGGTCATTATGAGTTGGGTCTGACTCGGTGGCACATAACAACAACAACAACAAAGTATCCAGACTCATAGCAATATGTAAGCCACCACAGTACGACAAAGATGGTGGGCGGTGGTGGGTCTCAGAACATAAAGCCTGCTTGTTTAAAAATTACTCTCTTTCTTGTTACATTCTAGATCCCAAGGAAAATGGAAATACACTCTCTTTGGGAAATTGCCCTAGGGAAAAGCCTCAGTGTGAAGAAGAATCTATTTGATTTCTGTGAGGGCAGGCTTAGTGTTACTCTTATTGTTTGTTATGTTCTTCGGGGCCAGGTAAAGAAGCCCTGGTGGTACAGTGGTTAAGAGCTTGTCTGCTAACCAAAAGGTCACCAGTTCGAACCTGCCAGCCACTCCACTGGAGAAAGATGTGGCAGTTTGCTTTGATAAAGATTACAGCTTTGGAAACCTATGGAGGCAGTTCTACTCTGTGCTGTAGGGTTGCTATGAGTCGCAATTGACTCGAGCACAGCAGGATTTAGGCCAGAAAAGACTTTTAAGCCAGAAAAAGACAAGGTTTTGAAAGAAGTGACTCAGCTTTTTTCAACATGGAAAAAATTTCAAACTATAAAAGCAATATGCTCTGCCATTCCGATTAGATTGCTATATGTAACGGCAAATTTCAACCAAAATAGTGGTTGAAATGGGAGAGGTTCATTTGTCTCTTGTACATGGAGGTTGATGGTCAAGGGCTGATGTCGTGCACCCTGGAGTCAGAGTCCTAGTCCTTGTTTGTGGCTCCACCATCCTCAGCCTATGGGTTCCCCTTCATTGGGGTCCGGCCAACAAGCCTACATTCCAGCCAACAGGAAAGGAGCAAGGGCAAAGAAGCACAGGCCTCCTCCACGGAAGAACACTGTCTGCAGGTGTCTAAACTGCGAGATTACTTGGACAAAATCTGTGTATCTTAAATTTTATACGTGTTACTAAATTACACTCCAGAAAATGTAATAATTTACCTTTCCCTTAGCTGCAGATGAGTATTCCTCTCCTACATCACCATCAATATTAGACTTGACAAAGCTTCTGAAATGAGTGGGTGTTCTGGTTCCCTAGTGCCGCTCTGACAAGAATATACCACCAATGGGATGGCCTTAACAAACAGGAGTTTATTCTTACAATTTGGAGGCTTTAACTCCAAGTTCAAAGTATCAGGCTCTAGGGGCTGGGTGAGAGCCCCTCAACCTTGGGGTCCAGCTCTGCCTCCTGCTCCTGGCCCACGGAAGCTAGAGGCGTTTCTTCATTCAGACAGCTGCTGGCTGCTGAGGCTGAGAAGCCCCAAGGTTGACAAGTAAAAAGGCACAATCCTGATGTTACCAAACCACACAACAGGCCATTAATTTAAGTCCATTGTAAGTTTCAAGGTCGGCAGAGCATAGCAGGCTGCTGAGCACTGACACGGCTACATGCAGGGTCGAAGCGTGCCATAGGATAGAGACCATTCCCAAGGCTTCTCCTTATATACAGGAAGCAGACCACATCTCAAAGGCAGCTACTCAGCTGCTTGTGGTAGATCCCACCATGGAGCTGATTGCCAGTCTCATCATGGGGAATAACTACCACCAGCTGCCCAGCCACTCAACCAGGCCCAGCCAAGTTGACACAAAAATATAACCACCACAGTGGGTGTCCTTAAAGCTAAGCCACGCATTTCATTGATGATTAGTGTGTCTAAAGATGATTTTTTTTTTTTTTTATTAGGATTTGGGTGAAGATTTACAGAGTAAATTCACTTTTCATACAGCAGTTCACATATACTTTGTCTCATGTCATTGACCAAAATTTACAATGCAGCAGCTCCCCTCCCACTTCCTCCCCATAGTTACCTCCTCCCAGTGTCCATCCCTTCATAATCTTCGAGAGGCCCATTGTCTGCCAACCCTGTATATGATCTTGGATACACTCTCCATTTAGACATACATAATTGTTTAGCTTGTTCACCCATCTATCCGTCCCTATACCCATGTTTGCTTTCATTGACAACTCAGTATTGTATTTACAAAGGGGTTCATATTTGTTGTTTGTACTGCCCATGTAACTCTCTCTGTCTTCTCATCCTCAATGCTGCCATATTGGTCACTCACATTTGGTACATTGCCCTTCTCTTCACCCAAATCAATATTTATCTCGATCTATCTAACAGCATTCCCTCCCCTTCCCTCCCACCCCTGGTAACCAACAAAGAAAATGTCCTCCAATATATAAACATTTCTAAAGATGATTTTTAAATGCATTTGTCAGTTGTATTTCCTCCTTGAGCATTTTCAATGTTGGTTCTTTTCCCATTTTCCCAGTGTACCATTCATCCTTGCTTTATCTCTTCAGGACATCACCCCTCTACATGTTATGTGTAATGTAATTTTTCTCCTTTGTTTTGGTTTTAATGTTGTGGATGTGTTTTTTGAAGTGTAGAGTTAATTTTTTAAGCACTCATGTCTGTTCATCATTTACCTGTAGGATTTCTGGCATTGTCCTTTGGCTAAGAAAACCTTTCAATATAACAATCTTTTCTATATTTTCCTCTAGTCTTAAAAAAAAAAGAAAAAAGTGATTATTTTTTTTAAAAGGCATATTTTAAATGTTAATTATTTAGTATATCCATAACATTTTTTATTCAATCTTTTTTCATTTCCAAACAAAATGGAATACTTTTTCATTTTTCTCATCCTAATCTCTATTTCTCTCTCTCTTTTTTCCTTCCCAAAGTGAAGGGAATATAGGAGAAATTTTACTTAAAAATCATTAACATCACAGGCTTGTAGATCATTATTTGCATAATAGATGATTTTTTTCCTTTTTCCAGAAAAGAGGAGAAAAGGATGTAGCTGGTCAAGTCCAGAAAGAAGACAGAAAAAAAGGCTCCCAAGAGGTAGGTAAGAAAAGTGAAGCTGTGTACTCTTCTGTGCTTACCTGACTCCACTGACCAACATGACCGCCTTTCTAGCCACCCAGTCACCCAGGTATCACAGAGCACAGCTGGCTCCACCCCTGCCTCGAGGCCTCCTCATCAGAGGACTCCTTCCCACAGGAGAAGGGGAACCCAGATGCCAGGCTGGTTCCAATCCCACTTTCCTTTCTTTTATCCAAGGGAAGGAATTGGGGGTAGGAGTTGGCACAGAGTGTCACATCATTTTGAGATTAGGATTGTGTTCTGGTTCCCTAGTGCCACTCTGACAAGAAATACACCACAAATGGGATGGCCTTAACAAACCCAGCTCTGCCTCCTGCTCCTGGCCCACTGGAGCTAGAGGCGTTTCTTCACTCAGACAGTTGCTGGCTGCTGAGGCTGAGAAGCCCTAAGGTTGACAAGTAAAAAGGTACAGTCCTGATGTTACTAAGCCACATGGCAGGCCATACATTCAAGTCCATTGTAAGTCCCCAGGTCGCCAGAGCATGGCAGGCTGCTGAACAATGACACAGCTACATACTGGGTCCAAGTGTGGCACAGGTTAGAGACCACTCCCAAGGCATCTCCTTAAATACAGGAAGCAGAACACAACCCAAAGGCAGCTACTCAGCTGCTTGTGGTAGATCCCACCATGGACTTGATTGCCAGTCTCATCATGGGGAATACTACCACCAGCTGCCCAGCCACTCAACCAGGCCCAGCCAAGTTGACACACAAACATAACCATCACAATTGTGTGCAGTTCAGGATCAGAGCAGGAAGAATAGACAAAGGAAACCTGAATTAGCAAGGAAGGTTCAGCCTCCCAATCCCAAACTGGAATTAGATTTGGAGTCACAAAGCAAAGTACACAAAACCACCTCAGTTTACTCCTCCCTGTGTGCGATGCACCTGCTTTATGCACAATAGCTGCTATTTGCAATATAGGAATAAAAATTCATGAAACTGTGTTTTTCTGGTTCCACTGCTTTGTCTCTTGAATGTCTTCATCACAGGAAACAGGAAGGAAAATGGGGAGTGTAGGAGAGTACTCACAAGACATGAGAGAAATAATAGAGAAATAGCAGGATAAAATGAAGGACAGAGATCTGAAAGGATGGGGCTGGGAAAGTGAGAAGGGGGTTGTTCATATGGGAGGAGGAAGTTGACATCGGACCCCAATTAAAACCTCACAAATTACTGTTTGGACCAGGGCCAGTGTCCTATACACGTGGAATCCCAGAGAAGCTCCAAATGGTGGATCAGGTGACTCAAATGAAGGATGACTCAACCAATCACTCAAAGGTCATGACAAGAGTCCAAGAGGCAAAGTGTGGATGTGCCCAAACCCCTGAGGCAGAGGGTAAGCCACGGCTCAGGGTGAGAGGAGCTCTCGTGGAGCAGGCACCAGGTGAGGGAGATGTGGGGAAATAGTAGGAGGGAGACGAGCAGAGAAAGAGGTTGAGGTGAGCCAAGAGGGACACAGAGAGCAAGGACCTGTGGGCCTGACGGTGGTGGTTGGGAGAAGTAAACGTGTCCTCAGGGAGAAGTTCACCTGCACTGTTGCCACGGTGGTTACTTGACCACTTCCAAGTGTCCACTGTTCGCTTCCATTAGTAATCACTACTGATGAGCCTTGTCTGTCCCTCTCTTGCATCTGGAAAGCTCCTCTCTGATTGGGCAGCCCAGTGGCTCCCATCCTCAGGGTGGGCACGTTCTCAGGATTATTTCCTAATGGCTCACTTCTAGAAGTGAATGAATGCTTGGCCAAAGAGCCTGTATATCAAGAATTAACACATATCATAAAATTGCCGACTGTTCACCAAATATTCCAGTGCCCTGTCACTGCCAGTCCCTACAGAAGGTTATATATCTGTGCCCTGTTGACTCAGAAATGGCCATGGAACTTGGACAAAAAATATGGACATAAATGATGGATCACTTCCAGGCCAAACCTTTAGGGGCTCTTTAGGAGTCAACCATTAACTGAGACCAGCAAAGTTCTAGACAGAGGCTGCTTTGTCAACCTGGAACCATGAGTGTTGATGACAAGGGGCTGAGACTAATCTAACGTGTGATGAACAAGTAGCATGAGAGAGATGTAAATCTTTGTTCTAAACCAGGGCTCAGCAACCTTATTCCATAAAGATCCAGACAATAAGGATTTCAGGCTTTGGGGATGGTACTCTGTCATAACTACTCAATTAGCATGAAAGCAGCAAGTGACATTAACAATGAACTTGGCTGTATTCTAATAAAACTTTATTTCCCAAAAACAAGTCAGGGTTCCAACATGGCCTATGGACTGGCCAGTTTGCTAACACCTATAATAAACAATGAGGAGCTCTGGTGGTATAGTGCCTTAGACATTTCACTGCTAACCAGAAGGCTGGCAGTTCAAACCCACCAGCCACTCCTCGGAAGGAAGATTGGGCAATCTACTCCGTAGAGATAAACCTTGGAAACCCAAGGAGGGGTAGCTATGAGTCAGATCTGACTCAACGGCAGTGAGTTATAATAAACCACTTAGATTTGGAAAGGTCATTAGTTAACACAGCATTACCTAGCCTATCTTGACTAATATTTTAATGTTAATTTTTAAAAATAAATTTATCATTAGAATTTTTTCTCTGGAGGATCACCTGTTCCTACTTGCCCATTTTTCTATAACTCCATTGCCCTCTGCTTGCTCCCAGCTCCTGCCCTTAACATTGTGCCTCTTTCAAAGAAGCTCTTTGAGTTGCTTGTCCTTCTCTGTCTCTTTTCTTCTCTCCCCTCCTCCTCCTCTTCTTTTTTGCTTTTTAATTTTAAAAACTTGCCACCTTAACCATTTTTTAGGTGTACAGTTTAGTGGCTTTAATTACCTCCATCATGTTGGACAACCATCACCATTATCTGTTTCTATGGTGAATTACTTGGTATGGCTCTTCTAGTCATGGGCTCTGTGACCATCAGATGACTAGGTGGACCTATGCAGATGTGAGGTGCTTGAGGCCCATCAAGGGGATTGGACAGCTTGCTAATAATGTAAATAATGTACATGGCACTCTTGTAGGGGTATTGTTGTTAGGTGCCATGGAGCAAGCTCCAACTCATAGTGACTCCATGTCCAACAGAATGAAATAATGCCTGGTCCAGCACCATGCTCACAATCTTTGCTATGCATTGAACCCATTCTTGCAGCCAGTGTGCAACCCATCTTTTTTAGGGTCTTCCCCTATCTGTGGGGGTGGGACTGTGCAAATAAGGTGCAGGAACCCTAATGTGAGGATTGGTCAGTTTTGCCATCGCCCTAGGCTTAAAATGAGCCATCCCAGAGGCAGAAAGGACATCTCACCACCATCAAGAGAGAGCAGCCAGGAATGGAGTGTGTCCTTAGACCCAAGATCTCTGAGCTGGACCTTGACAGAGAGGTGGCAGAGAGATGGCAGCAGTAGAACCAAGAGACCAGTACAAGAGAGAGCAGTGGGCTTGCCTGCCAATGGAGTGAGAAAGCTGAGTGCCCTTGGGCCACAGGCTTGCCAATGGAGAGGGGTGTACCTAGGTGCACCTATCGGCAGGTGCCCGAGCAGGGTAGAGGCCAGGCCTAGAGGCCAAGGGCCAAAGAGAGGCACGCCTCCAGGCCTGGCAGAAAGAGGCTTTCCTGATGGAAGAACTGTATCCTAAGCATGTTCCTGAGCCTGAATTATAACCTGTTACTTCTGTAATAAACCCCATGACTGTGAGTATTGTCTGTTAGTTCCGTGTGGCCACTGCAATGAATTAGTGAACCCAGCAGAGGAGAGAGTGACATGGGAGAGATGGTTGGTAAAAAGTTGGGAGATGGCAACATGTCTGACCTCAGCTTTAGGGATCAGCCCTGGGCTGCTGACGGGGGTCCTTCTCTCTCCCCCTAGGGGAGTTAGAGGAGGTGGGAGGATGCTGCCCCCAATACCGGTCTTGCAGTTTCCTAAAGATTTTCATCACCCCCAAACAGAACCCACTAAGCAATACCTCCCAGTCCCCCTCCATCCAGCCCCTGGGAACCACTCATCAGCTTTTGTCTCTCTGCCTTGGCCCATTCCACATATTTCATGTAAGTGCAATCACCAAACATTCGTCTTTGTGTGTTGGAGTTACTACATTGAGCATGTTTTGAAGGTTTGCACATGATGTCACATGCGTGAAGCCTTCATTTCTCTCTATGTCTGAATAATACCCCATTGTATGTATGGCATTTTATTTATTCATCAGTCTGGTGATGGACACTTGGGTTGTTTCCACTCTTTGGCTACTATGAATAACACTTTAGTAAGCACTGGTGTACAAGTGTCTGTTTGAGTCCCTACTGTGAAGTCTTTTGGGTATAAATCTAGAAGTGGAATTGCTGGGCCACACGGTAATTCTATGTCAACCTTTTGGAGGAACTGCCAAAGTCTTCTACAACACTGCAAATGCTGCACTACTCTACATTCCCACTAATGGTGCATGAGAGTTCCAGTATCTCCACATCCTCCACTTGTTATTTTCTGTTTGTCTGATAATAGCCATGCGGCTGCTAAGCAAAAGGTCAGTGGTGCAAACCCACCAGCTGCTCCATGGAAGAAAGAAGAAACAGTCTGCTTCCATAAAGAAGCCCTGTGAGCAGTTCTACTCTGTCCTATAGGGTCGCTATGAGTCGGAATCAACTCCATGGCAGTGGGTTTAGTATCTCATTGTAGTTTTGATTAGCATTTCCCTAATGACTAATGACATGGGACATCTTTCATGTGTTTATTTGTATATTTTCTTTTGAGATATATCTATTCAAGACCATTTTTAAATTGTATTTTGTTGTCGGATTGTAGGAGTTTTTTAAAAAAATATGTTCTGGATATATACCAAAAACCAAATCAAACTCACTGCTGTCGAGTTGATTCGACTAATAGCCTCCCCTCCTTGGGTTTCTGAGGCGGTATCTCTACGGAAGTAGATTGCCCAATCTTCCTTCTGAGGAGTGGCTGGTAGGTATATGTTGTTGTTGTTGTTATGTGCTGTTGAGTCGGACCCGACTCATAGCGACCCCTCCTTGGGTTTCTGAGGCAGTATCACTACAGAAGTAGATTGCCCCATCTTCCTTCTGAAGAGTGGCTGGTGGGTTTGAACCACCAGACTTCTGGTTAACAGTCAAGTGCCTTAGGCACTACGCTACCAGAGCTCCTGGTAGGTATATAGTTACCAAATATTTTCTCTGATTCTATAGATTGTCTCTTCACTTTCTTGAGAAAATGCTGTGATGTACAAACGTTTTTAATTTTGATGAAGTCCAAACTATCTATCTTTTTTCTTTTGTTGCTTCTGCTTTTGCTGTCTTTAAGACACCAAATCTTCTAAGAGAATCTATCATTGAAACAAAGTCTTGAAGCTTTACCCCTGTGCTTTCTTTTAAGAGGCTTATGGCTTTAATTCTTCTGCTTAGGCCATTGATCCATTTTGAGTTAATTCTCATACGTGATGTGAGCTATGGATCCAACTTCATTTTTTTGCATGTGGACATCCAGTTGTTCCAGCATTGTCCATGGAAGAGATTATTCTCTCTTCATTGAATAGACTAGGCAAAAATCAAATCGCCATAACTATGGGTTTATTCCGTTACATTGTTCTATATACCCAGCCTTTTATCAGCACCACATTGTTTTCTTTACTGTAGTTTTAGAGCATGTTTTGAAATTGGGAAATGTGATTCCTTCTACTTTGTTCTTCTTCACAATTGTTTCGGTTATTCAGGGTCCCTTGCAATTCCATAAAATTTAAGGATCATGCAACAAGTCCCATGAGGTCAGTGAATGGGTCAGTCTTCTTGCTCTGTGTCCAGCTCCTCAGGTCTCACACAGTTGGTACTTAAATGACTGTCACGGGTGGTTCACTTATTTCATGAAGACCTACCACAAACAGGCCCTATTCCCTGCCCCCATATCCCCACCATGACACTGATCACAACTGTAAATAATTATCTGCACATCTTGTTACTTCATGAAAATCCCATGAGGTCAGAATGTAGGTCAGTATTACCCATTGAAGGAGCTCTGTTGGCATAATGCCTAAGGCACTTGACTGCTAACCAGAAGGCTGGCTGTTCAAACCCACCAGCCACTCCTTGGAAGGAAGATGGGGTAATCTACTTCCCTAGTGATACGGCCTCGAAGCCCAAGGAGGGGTTGCTGTGAGACGGATCCAACTCAATGGCAGTGAGTTCAGAGAGTTATTGCTTACTCATTGATGTATGTCCAGCTCCTCCATGTCTCACACAGTTCATACTTAAATCACTCTTCATCAAGTATTAATACCAGTGGCAAGGACTCTGTTTACCCACACTTTGCATTTTTACCAATGAGGAAAAGTGTCCCTCAAAATACTTTTCTCCCTGGAACTATCGAAACTAGACCCCTTGCTGCCCTCTACTGGAATATTGTTTTACTATAGATATAAATCGAGTATGTCTTGTATGTTAATGGTGCCCCCTAGAGGTGAAATTCCACACAAGCATGCGCAGTGGCCATGATAAGAGTAAAAATGTGTCTATCACTTTACAGTCAACAAAGCACTTTGCTCTACATTTTGTTTAATCCTCACAAGAAGTCAGTATTTTCAGCCCATTTTACTGATTGGATGAAAGGGTAAAGGGTTTGCATGAGCTCAAATCAACCTGTTGTTGTTGTTGTTATGTGCCATCGAGTCAGACCCGACTCATAGCGACCCCTCCTTGGGTTTCCGAGGCAGTATTACTACGGAAGTAGATTGCCCCATCTTCCTTCCCAGGAGTGGCTGGTGGGTTTGAACCGCCAGCCTTCTGGTTAGCAGTCAAGTGCCTTAGCCACTATGCTACCAGGGCTCCCTAGGTGTTCTAATTCCAAGTCCTTTGTTCTTTACACCAAGAAATAAATGAACTCACATCCCCCCTGGTCTTTGTAGGACACTCTAATAGGTGGCACAGTGCCTAAGGCATTTGACTGCTAACCAGAAGTTTGGCGGTTCAAACCCACCAGCCGCTTGCAGAAGGCCGATGGAATGATGTACTTCCGTAAAGATTAACCACCTCGGAAACCCAATGGGGTCGCTATGAGTTGGAATCAACTTGACGGCAGTGAGTTTGTTGTTGTTGTTAATACGGGCTGAACCTTCTGAGAAGAGACTAGAGCGCAGACGGAAGCGGATGAGGGCCCTAGGGGAGGCTGCAGTCCAGGCAGTGCCCACAGCCGTCTGCGGCATCAGCCTCTACTGCCTCCTGAGGCTTTCACCCCACTGTGGCTGCCGGTTTACCCAGGGTATCCGTGTGCTACTGCCGATCACACATACCCGGGAATCTTGTGGGGCATTTCTGTTCATAGGGAAAGAGCACTAGACTGGGAGTCCATCAAGAAGGGATCCTAAAGCCCGTTCCACCTCATATAGTTGGGCCAGTCATTGTCTCTCAAAATGTGAGATTATGCCCGTCTATTAAATGAGGATGATGCCGGCCTGCCTTCCTCACAGGTCACTGTGGGTGTAAATGACCCAATGTGTGCTGCCTTTCTGATTTTGTTGACCATTGATTTTCCTCCATCCACCTCATCTCCCTGCAACCACTCCTCCGCAGAGAGATCACAGGTCCTCCAGACCTCTCTCCAGCCTCCTGTCTTTTCTGGCATAATTCTCACCTCCTGTATTCCCCCAGCTTCTGTAAGAGTTTCCAGAGCTAGTCTTCTGATTCAATAATTGAGTTATTTTCCATTCTGCTTTTCGGTCTCTGTTAGGTTCTTTGTCTAATTTCCTCCATCATACTTTTTATTTCGATTAATTTTTTTCCTCTTGAATTGATTATTTTTCTTAGCAGGATGCTCTTGTACCATGCACACAATAATCCACTAATTTTTCCCAAGGATGATAACATCTAATGTTTTTCTCTCTCACATTCATCCCATTAACCGTTTCCTTTGAGATGGGGTGGCACAGTGGTCGAGAACCTGGACTCCACAGCCTCACCACGGAGGTTTGTAAACCTCTGCGACTTCCCAGCATAAATGACGTAAATTGAGGGGGGATTTGCTGTTGGAAGTTCTAACGTGGGTGATAAGGCAGGACCACAAGTAACTCTGTGCCGTGTCAACAAACGAAAGATAGTGGGGCAGCCAGTTCATGCAAGAGCAACACCCCTCACCCCTGCATCCTAGCCCTGCTGCCCGCTGTGCTCCTCCACGGCCAGGCATCCCAGGGTTCCCCAGGGTCAACCATCCCCTCACTTCCCAGGGGTGCCTCCTCCCTCCGTCTGACTCCATCTGCTTCAAATCTTTGCAAAGGTTTCCCTTTTCCCAATGATGCTCTTGCTGTTTCCTATGGTAGTTTCCTTTGGCTGTTTTGTAAGCACTGGGGGCAAAGAGGAGACTTGAACCAGATGTTGTCCTAGACGCACTCCTGGTCTAGCATCCTCTGTATCTCAGCATGAGTCATGGACAGCCTCTTCCTGCTGCCCTAAGAGAAGGGCCCTGAGTGTATCCTTAATGAACCCTCCCAGTGAGGCTGGGAGCAGGTGCAACACTTGCTGGTATTTACAACTTATTCTCCACAGTCAGAACCCCAGGCCCCACTCAGATGTGCTAAGGTGCCAAGTGTTTCCTCGTCCAATTTGCAGATGGGTCTAGAATTTTCCGGGGTTTACTTTTACTTCCAGAAGAAACAGGGAAGTAATAAAATGAAAAGAAACAGTAAACAGTGAAGACAGACACAATCCCCTCAGTACTAACCACCTCACGTCCCCCGCCTTGGTTTGACTTGGGAAACGAGATTATAGAGAAAGAGTTTTTCACTGGCTATGTAACACAAGGAAATATTTTGGGTAGGCAACTTCTACCAGTAGAAGGATGTTGTTGTGATGTGCCACCGAGTCAGACTCAACTCATAGCGACCCCTCCTTGGGTTTCCAAGTCAGTATCACTACGGAAGTAGATTGTCCCATCTTCCTTCTGAGGAGTGGCTGGTGGGTTTGAACCGCCGGCCTTCTGGTTAGCAGTCAAGTGCCTTAGCCACTATGCTACCAGGGCTCCCAGTAGAAGGATTAGCAGGATGTATATGGAGTAGAGAACACTAGGTGAGGGCCAATCAGCTTGCAAATTAAAACATGCTGATGGTGATGGCTGAACAACTCGATGTCAGTGGGCTGTACCTGGGAAGACTGCAGAAATGGCAAATGTTTTGTTACCTATACATTTACTACAGTTAAAAAAAAAAAAAAATTAAAGCACATCCACCCAAGAAGCCCTGTATTCTCGACTGACATGTTTTGTTTGATGCAGTGGTGGTGCTGGTGGTTTTGTTTATTGGAGATCATCTTGTCCAGGGAGCTAATCTGCCACTCAGCATGGAAGATTTCCTGCAAATTAACAAGAAAATGGTCCCCAGTACCATTCACATGATGATTATAGAGGCCGTGGGGGTGGGGGAGGGAGAATTCACAGGGAGACAGAAAGAAGACTCAGTAAAGCTCACCTGTTCCCTTCTAGTTTCAGAAAGGCCTGAGGACGAACTTGGGGGCTTGCACTCTCCTGAACTTCCTGTGACCTGTGGGGAGGCAAAAGGCATTTTATACAAGGAGAAGATGGCACAAGGTGAGCTCCTTTGTCTTCTGCTCCGGTGACTCCCAGATGAAGAAACCACTAGCAGGAGGGAAGCCCCCACGTGCCTACGTCTTTGCTCAGGAAGTGGGCACCGTGTGCGAGGCTGAAGATAAGAAGTGCTTTCCCAGGTGACAGTGCCACACTTGTATCGGTCATCGTGTGCTTACCTCCCCAGTGCTGCTGCTCCAGAAATGCCACCAACAGGCGGTTCCAAAGAGCAGCGCTTTCTTCTCTCCCGGGTCAGGAGGCTACAAGTCGGAATCCAGGGCCCCGCTCCGGGCCAGGCCGTCCCTGTTGCTTCCTCAGCAATCTTCGGATGGCATCTGTGCTCTCCCCTGTCTCCCCTTTCCTAACTCAGTGTTTAGGTTCAGGACACACCCTATACTGACATGGCCTCATTTACATAAGAAAGAAGCCCCTATTCCCAAGTGAGATTACATCCATAGGTGGGGGAGGGGAGAGACAATTCAATTCAGGAAAGTGTGCATCTGGAAACAAGGCCACTTCCACCTGGGAGTCCTCCGTGATTCCTGCGATGCCTTCAATGTAAGAAACAGGGGCGTCCCTCTGGACCCAGACAGGTGGAATGCCACTTTTAGGGCTTTGGAGGTTTGGGACAAATTCTAGGGGATCCTGGAAAGCCCTGTCTTTATGTTACAGGACCCTCAGAGAAGTGCATTCAGAATGAAGAGGGAGCTTGGTTCACGCCAAGAGAATTTGAAGTTGCTGGGAACCGGGCCCAGTCAAAGAACTGGAAGCGGAGTGTGCTCTGCAGGGGACAGACCCTAGGACAGCTGCTAGAGGTATTGTAATGACAAGGGACAGACGGGACATGGATTTAAATTCGGAAGGCATTCCAATAGACAGAAATGTGCAGAAATTCCCATTACGGTTCAATAGCACAATTTACCCAGAGGTGAAAGTTCATAGAAAAAAGTTGTGGGTGATAAAGTTGGGACCACAGACTGGTCCTGATGGTGGGGATCTTTGAATGTACACAAAGCAGCCCAACTAAAGCCCCAAAGGGTCTGGAGGTCAGGAGAGACTTAAGGAGCTTTATCCGGTGGTATTGGACGGGGTGGGTGGGAAGGAGACTAGCTGTAGCCGTAGACACCTGGAACAGCTTCCTGCCTCCTTCTTCTGGTAAATCCCTACTGGAGACCCTGCTCCATCTCGACTCCTCTGTGAAGCATTCTGGGCCACCCTGTGCTTGGTCAGTCTGTCCCCTGCACTCCCACAGTTCCCATCCTGGGAACCCCTACAGAGTGGACGAGTCATTGTAATCCCAGGACTCAGCACAAAGCCTCCCAGTAAACTCAGAGAATTCTCACTGAGATAAAATCCTAAGGAGTTGATCCAGAGAGGATGGAATGGGAGGAGAAAGGAGTGGATGGGAGAGGGACTGGGGAGAAGAGCAAATCCGTCCCGGGTTTGAGTAACGAGGGAAAAATTCTGTTCCCATTAAGTGAAGTCCAGAAGAAGAACTGATTGGGGCAAGGGATTGGTTTTCATTTAGATGCTTTGGGTTTGAGAGACCAGTAGGCTATGCAGGGAGAAATATTCACCAGGAAATCGGAAATGTCCCATCACAAAGAGCCTCCCGAATAACCCCTTCCCGATCCCGTCTCTCTTTCAGAAAGGACCTCTGCTCTGCCCTTCAGGAGCCGCTCTCAAGAGAGAGGTAAATATCAGGTGATGGGTTGATTTCTACCATATTCTTGGTTGCAGACTTTCCACTCACCTTACAGTTCCCACATGTCCTACCTGTGAGTCACTTTTTCATGAAGTTATGACACCTCCATACCAGCCACTTCAGCACAGTGTTACATGCACATTCTGCCATTATTCCTATAGCTGATTTCAGATGAGGAAGCATATGCCCAAAGCTAATGAAGTGCGTATATTTTAGAAGGAGATCTGGGTGTTTGGATGAGTACAAACCACAGGAGTCAGAAACAGAGTGCTCTAGTGTGGAAAGCAAACAGGGTATCGAAACAGAGAAGAACACTGTGAAAGGGCCATGGGGCCATTTTTCATTGTACACCAAGAACTGCTCAATTCACCAGTGAAGTCCCTTTGTACCAGGATGGTTGACTGGTTTGAACTGAGCTTTGTTTCTGTGGAGCCTCCCTACAGTGAAGTGACAGTCACTGATTGGCTGAACCAGGGACCCTCCTCAACCTTCTGTGCTGGCTTAGATGCAGCCTCCAGGTAGGAGACCCACTCGAGGGCCGCCTGCTGTTCCATGTGAATCCCAGCAGAGGCAAGGGGGCCTCTCCTATCTTGCCATGAGACTGGGCTGGCCCTTGGCTAGCTGCGATCAAAGCTTGTAAGACAACGGTCTCACGATGTCGTGTCTTGTATTCACTGCTGATTTGAAATACATTGAAATGGACAGGGATGCTTATTGAGCGTTGTCATAACAGAAACTAGAGAAGGACACAAACACCCATCAGTATTGTAAAGTAAACTGATACATCTACAAAATAGCATTAAAAAATGACGTAGATTCATAAAGATTGACTCTTCCTTCAGTCAATGGAAAATGAGAGGTTTTGAGGTCAGGAGGGCTTTTGAAGCTTGAGGTAGTAGTCATATCTATGGAAGGAACCCACATTTATTTACATAAATATGTAGGTCTATGTCTGGTAGCATAGTGCCTAAGGCTCTTAACTGCTAACCAGAAGGCTGGTGGTTCAAACCCACCAGCCACTCCTCAGAAGGAAGGTTGGGCAATCTATTTCCATAGTGATACTGCCTTGGGAACCCAAGGAGGGGTTGCTATGAGTCGGGTCCGACTTGATGGCACATAACAACAACAACAACCTGTCTGAAAAAGGAGCCCTGATGACACAATTTTTAACTGCTCAGTTGCTAATTAAAAGGTCAGCAGTTCAAACTCACCGTTGACTTTGTGAGAGAAAATACCTGGTGATCTGCTCCTGGGAAGATTAGTGTAGGAAACCCTATGGAGCAGACCTAGTCTGTAATACAGGGTTGCTATGAGTTGGAATCAACTCAACAGCATATGAATTTTCATGACTGAAAAAATATTGGAAAGAATCAATCATGATTATTCTGGGAGTGGGATTCCAAGGGACCTTTGTCTTCTGTATTATACACTGATGTATAGTTGGAATTTTTATAATTATCTTTTTTTTTATCTTATCTTTAAAACCAAGATAACTACTCAATGGGCCCAGTATGGGAGGCCTTATATAACTCTTATAATGTCACCTGTCAGCAGATGATAGCCCAGGGCACACTTGACCCGACCTCTCAGTCCCACCGTCCAGGGTCATGCTGGGATAATGACTAGCAGTGGGCTCCCTCTGGCCTCCTCCTGAGCCGTACTGTCTGCTGCATCACTGTTGCTGGTCTCCATTGCTGTTGGGCTTTGTGTCTGTGTACAGTGAAGAGCCCTGAGGCGGGCACTCCCAAAGCGTGCTTTGTGGTTGTGCTGTGGGGCGCTGCCCAAGGCATAATGGGCAGCCAGTACCCAGAGTCCCAGGCCCAGAACCTCGATCTCCAGAAGGATCCAGTAGTTGTCAATGTAATGGCAGAAAGCATGGGGCCAGGAAGGGCAGGTCTTTTTGTTTTGTTTGTTTGCACTAGACGCTCGTGGGTACCATGGGTGGTCCAGAGACTCCAAGATGCATGGAGGCAGTTGGAAAGCCTCTACAGTGAGGAAATCTCTGAGGGCACTAGTGGGAGTGCCAGTTGTGTTGCAATTTGGACAAATTATAGAGGCCTTTGTTGTGGGGAATCCCTTTCAACATGGGCCAATTTGTGTACAGCAGGACAAATAGGCTGAAATAAAATTTGTAAAGGGAGACGATGTTGTCTCTGGGAAGTCATGGGTTTAGTGTGTGGTCAGGGTCTTGACAGGGTGCAGAGACACAAAAGCCAGTCAGCGCGCTTGTATCTTTCTGTTGTACAAATCCTTTAATTTTGGATTTCCAACTGGATTAAATGAAAATTTGCATCAGATTTTTGTTTCACCCCCTTTATCCCGAATTTTTTGGGGGGCAATAGGGTATTTCCACTGGATATATTCCAAGGGAAATGTCTGGTGTACTCTGCTCAGATTCACAAGTTTCTTCCTCACATGAGCAACCACCCAATGGGCTCACATACTGAACACTGAACAGGGCATCAGTCTCCCTGAGCGTCTGTAGAACGAGTAGTGACTCCATGACCGAGTACAGCTGCTCACTGGGTTTTCTTGGCTATCATCTTTATGGGAGCCCTTTTCCATGTCTTTCTCCCATGGACCTGCTGGAGAGTTCAAACTGTCGGCCCTTTGGTTAGCAGCCCGGGGCTTAACCATTTGTGCCACTAGAGGCTCGGAAACCAACAACCAAACCAAACTCACTGCCATTGAGTCGATTCTGACTCATAGTGACCCCTCCTTGGGTTTCTGAGGTGGTCTCTACAGAAGTAGATTGCTCAGTCTTCCTTCCAAGGAGTGGCTGGTGGGTTTGAACCACCAGCCTTCTGGTTAGCAATAAAAAGCCTTAGGCACTATATCACCAGAGCTCCCAGAGGCTCAGAAGGACCCAGCAAATGCAGCACAAAGCAGCCCAGCTCAAAGCCCAGGGCAGCCAGCAGGCAGCACCTCAAAGTGCGTGCTCCCCACGGGCAGGTGGCAGCAGAGCCAGCCAGCAGCCAGGGCAGGAGAAGAAAGACCCCTGGCGGTGATGGCCATTGCCCAGACACCCTGCTTGCTGCTCTAGTAATCGGGCCTCTGCCCTGTCGGGAGGTGGGATCAACCCCCAACTCAGAATTGGGCTCAGATGTGGGAGCTCTGGTGGCATATGACTGCTACGACTGCGTATGCCTAAGGCATTTGACTGCTACCCAGAAGGCTGGTGGGTTCAGCCACTCCTCGGAAGGAAGATTGGGCAATCTACCTCCATAGCAATACCACCTAAAAACCCAATTGACTCCACAGCAATGAGTTTGGTGATTTTTTTGTTTTGGTTTGGTTTTTTTATTGATGCTACACACATGCCTCTAGTGAATAAGTGAAAAAATGTATTACTCACACATTGAATCTTTTTGGGCACAGCAGGGAGGGCTCTCAATCCAATCAGCAAATGGCTTGAGCATAGGGAGGGATGAGGAGCCTAGGTTTACTATGGTTAGGGGATAGGGCCAGAGTGAGAAGTTCTTCTTGGGGGCTGGGCCTTGCCTGGCTCCAAGGGAGGGACCACTCAAGCTTTCTTATTGACTTGCCCAGATGTGGAGGCAGAGGGGAAGAAGGTAGGGTGGGCTTGAAAGCTGTTGGCAAACATGAAAAATGGAGTCAGACTCTTATTACAGAATGTGACTGTTGACTTGTGTGTCTTTTTTCTTGTCGATGTGTGTTGGGAACTGTCTCATTTTCTCTTCAGACCATGGTGGGATGCAGAATTGTGGACCAAATAGGATGTCAGCTAGGGGGCATGGGTGGGTCTAGGGCTATCTGAGGAAGTGGCACTTGCACATTGGACAAGGGCAGGTCAAAAGTCCAGTCAGAGGGTGAGAATGGCCAGAGTGTCTATCCCCACAAAAGAGTAAGAGACCATTGAGTTAAGGATGGAAAGGCCAGAAAGGTACCCTGGTCTTGGTAGGTGTGGAGGATGGGAGTGGTAGAGGGGATGGAGCAGGGAGGCTCCTTTACCACGTCCTGGACCTAATTACTAGAAGGAGATGTTCTGGAAGGTGAGACCATCAAGCGGGACCTTAACCTTGGTTTTTGAGAATGGATGAACGTGGCCGTCCCTCATGCCCTTGCCCAGGCCCTCTTGCTTGTGTCATGAACAGTTGTGGGGGGTGGGCAGGATTTCTTTCCTGAGATGTAGCTGACTCCTATCCTTCTTCAATCCTTGTTCCATCTTTTGGTTGCCCGTTCCTTTCTCACCAGCCTCCATCCATAACACAAAGTGATAGCTCACAGACTGCACACATGATGGGGGACCCTCCTCCCGACTCCCTACCTTTAATATAGAAAGAACATTCCCTTGTGTGTTTGAGCCTCCAGTCGAGTGGTGAAGGGCTGGCCCCACACTCTTTGCCTTGTGGGGCCAGGAGTAGAACCAGGAGTTCCTGCCTGTGGGTCTTTATCCAGGCCATTCCCTGTTGGTAGCCCCTTGAGTTCCTTGGAACTCCTCGGTGTCTGACTTCCCTCATATGTGTGTTTCTGGGTCTGATGTTGTCTTCCTATAACTCAGCAGTGATTAGGTTCAGGACCCTACTCTAGTCTGATTTCATTAACAATGTCAGGGACAGAGGTTAGGATTCAACACGTTTTGGTGACACAGTTTAATCCACAAGATGTCCTTCCAGTTCTGACAATATGTGGTGCTTGTGGCCACTTGACTGTTCCTGCCACCTGCTCCACTGAA